TACATCCTCAACAACCTCATTAGGAACACCATCAACCTAAAGGATGGACCAGCCTCAGATATTAATGGCTATATGAGAAATGTGTTGGCTAGATTTGCTCTAGGTGAGGATAGGTTCAATGTCCCTAGATTCATGTGGACTGAGTTGAGATTTGTAGAGGAGGATGGGAGGAGGGGGCTACCCTATGCCCCTTACCTCATGTTCATGATTGAGAGGGTCACTGGATTTTATTTTCTAAAGGATAGGATGCATACCGTCTACAAAATTGAGAAGACCCAGCCAGCTGCAGCTACTTAGGGAGCGGGGAGCTCTCATGCTCATGTAGACATCCTTGAATCTTCCTGCTCTAGGTCTCGCAGAGGAGGCAAGATGAAGAAGTTTGGCAAGTGGTTGAAGGCAATCTTCGGCAAGTGTACCTATGCAGCTGACAGAGCATATGAGGCACAGCTTAAGCAGCGTTAGCAGTGTGGACAGGACCTTCCACTACTTCCTCCTATTCCACCTCCTCCATAGTATGACCTTCCGAGTCTCTCCGACACAAATTTAGATTATGAGGATGATGATGATGAGGAGGAGCAGCGGGGACGAGCAGCAGATTGGGATGAGACCCTGGAGGGATACCGTCAGAGACAGGAGCCGAGGCGTTCCACTAGTTCCACTCGATACACCGCCACTACTCACCGTTAGGGCCGTGCACGTATTGACTCCGACGACGATGATGGTGATGGTGGTGCCGGGACTACTGCAGGAGGTGATGATATTGATTGGATGGACATCCAGGGAGATGACGAGTAGGTGTTGATCTTTCTTCTTTTCTTCTCTTTTTGGTGCTTTATGCCAAAGGAGGAGAAAATTAGAGGGATCAACAACTTTTCGTAGCAGCTGCACTGCTTCATGTCCTATTCAATGAGTGTTAGTCTTTGCTAGGTGGAAAGTTTGAGAGTCGCTCAAAACTATAAATTGTGAAATAATGCTACTATTTGACTCTTTGTGTATCGAATATGGACATGTATCGTTATGTGGATTAGAAGTCATCTTATTATGCTAGGTTGCATATCTTTTTTGTGTGAGCTAGCTATGTGGTGCTTGACTCTGTCTAGCTCGTACAGTCAGGTGCGGCATTGCCGCATAGCAGCAAGCACATGTGTGTATAAACTATCATTTGTATCATGTTTTACATACCTAACACAGTATGCAGCATCCCACAGGAGCATAGATGTAGGGGCAGCCCCATCACTTTCACTAAAATATGAATCCTAGCTTCTTATGCCAATTTAGGAATTCAATTCTCTATTCACATACTTAGGGGGAGACTCTACACCCATGGCTCAAAAATCTTAGTATTTATTTCATATCTTTTGTAAGCTCTAATTAGGTTGTCATCAATCACCAAAAAGGGGGAGATTGAAAGTGCAATCAAGCCCTAATTGTGGGTTTTGGTGATAATGACCACGCAATTAGAGAACTAATGAGATTTATCAAGATGACAAGCAGGAAATTTATATTCGAGGATGCTACACGAAATGGTAGAGCCCCCAATTATAAATATAGATGGCTTCAAACTCAAATGAGGTTTAAGATTCTTTTATATCTTGAATTTGAGTATAGGAAAAGCCGTACTATAAAGGTGGACACAATGCTTAAGCTAATATGTGCTACCAAGTGCTCAAACAATCATAAGCATCCTCAGATTCATAGCCAAGACAGTCTACACTTCACTATTACCCTTGATGTCTTACGTGGTGCGAGCTCTGACTCGCCCGACCCCTTGTGTGCGAGCTCCGACTCGCCCGACCCCTTGGACGCGGGCCCCAGTTCGCCCGACCCTTTGGTCACAGGCTCTGTCTCGCCCGACCCCAAGGTCATGGGCTCCGACTCGCCCGACCCTTTGGTTGTGGGCTCCGTCTTGCCCGACGCCAAGGTCGTGGGCTCCGGCTCGACCAACCCTTTGGTCGCGGGCCTCGTCTCGCCCGACCCCAAGGTCGCGGGCTCCGGCTCGCCCGACCCATTGGTCACGGGCCTCATCTCATCCGACCTCTTGGGTGTAGTGTCCATTGAGGGCTGGGGGTATATATATCTTTTCTCTTCTTCCCCAACGGCTATCTGCGACTTAAGTGACCGTTGGGAGCTAGGGGATATATATACCTTTCCCTTTTCTTCCCAACGGTAACCTGCTCTCTTCTTCCTCACTTCAGCACATGCAAAACAGAGCAGGAGCTCTCTCTCTCTCTCACTCTATTGTTGACCTACAGCCCCTAAGCAAATCTATTGATTTCCCTATCAATCATTGAGGGAAAAGGGTCCACAACTTGATTAGAGAGCAACTCCATTGATTTCCAAACTCTAAAGAGCACTTGGTTCATGTTTTAGCCGGCGGTTGTGTTTGTTACTCTTGGAGCTTGGCTCCTAGCCGGCTAGAGAGTCACCCGTGGAGCTTGTCAACTTGTGTGGCAGCTCTGGGAGGTTTGTAACCATCTCTTGAAGCTAGTAAACTCATCCATCATCTCAAGAGTTAAGTCTCTTGACTTGAGAATGAGAAAGGGCTGGAAAGCTCTAAGCCTTAGTGGCTAACCTCAACAACGTGGAGATAGGCAAGCCTTGGTGGCGAGCCGAACCATGGGATAAATCATTGTGTCACTTGTGCTTGATTTATATTACTTGCTTGACATATTGTTGTTGAGGTGATTTTAAGAGTTTGAGGCTGATCTACTTATGTGTGGTGTTCCCACCACCTTCAGCTGTCGACCTATGATCTACTATCCTATAGGAAGCTAAGAAATTTACCCTATCTAAATTTCATTGGGTAGATTTCAAACTGTGAACTAATCTCTCCTGTAGGTGCGGCAGTGCCGCGCTCACAGAGCGGCAGTGTCACGGGTGAATTTGACTTCGTTTTGAGTTGAATTTTTATAGGCCTATTCACCCCCATCTCGATATACCAGAGATACTACACACCAGCATCGGGAAGAGGAGTAGGGGTGCGAAGGATGCCCAGCCGACGCCCGGAGGAGGAGAAGACACCAAGGCGAGGTAGTAGAAAAGCGACGACGGAGATGCAACACTTATTTTACTTTTGAAACATCAAGATGCAACACCTACAACCATATGTCTGAAGGCAGATGAAACTCTCCGTGCTTCTAAAATGCTTGCAAAAAACACCTAAAAACACTTAAAAACCATTGCAAATCATACATAATATCTAGATAAAACACTTGCAATATATATGTGAAATGTATGCAACGTATAGATAAAACACACTTGCAACATATATCCGAATACACAGATGAAACATTGAAAACAGACCTTTGCAACATATATGTGCAACAATTGCAACATATGCAACATCTCAATCTAGTTTTGCAACATCGGCATGAAATAACTGCAACATACCTATGAAACACATGAAACATACGCTTGCAACATGCGTTTTCACCACATTGCAACATCTCCTTGCTACTTGGGAGAATAGAGGCTCGTCGGCATGTAGAGTTCGTCGTAGGCAGTGGCTCGACAGTGGCGGCGGCACGAGGCAGCAGGGAGGCATTAGCCACGCGATGTGGCATGGAGGCAGAGGACAGTCGTGGCTCAGAGGCGGCCGTGCACCGCACCTGGTAGGCAGGGCCGGTAGTCCGATGATCGAGCGCCGTGGCTCGTAGGTGGCCGCGCGCCGCGCCTGACAGGCAGGGCCGGCAATCCGTTGGCCAAGCACCATTCCTCGAAGACGGCAGACGAGCGGATAGGAGCGACGAGCGGATAAGGGCGACGAGCGTTTTTTGTTTTAAATTAGAAACAGACAGGAACGGACGGACATCCTGACGTCAGCATTATCGAATTTTTATGGTAATGTACCCAGTTGACGTACTATAAACGCGCTGAGGAAGGGGTCATTTGGTATGGCTCCTGGGGCAGCTCCCGGAGCCGTTTTCCAGCTTTGGCTACCAAACGCCACCGAACGGATCCTCTTCACCATTAGAGCCGCGGAAAACGCGCTAAGGAGAGGAGAGGGTGGGAGCTGCAAAAGGGTAGCTTCACCTGGCTCTGTCCTCGGATGTGTGGACCCAGGGCGGATTTGCCCCCGGTGTAGCGTGGGTGCGTGCGAAGAAGAAGGGCGCAGGGGAGGACGACTACCAAGGTAGGCATAGGCACGGAGGAGGAGGACCGCCGAGGTAGGCACGGGCACGGAGGAGGATGGCCAGCTAGGTAGGCGCTAGCGCGGAGGAGTTGCTGGGAGCCTGGGACGACGATCACGGAGGAGCCGCTGGGGCCCGGGTCGTCGTGCGCGGCCGCTGCTGCCGGGGCATGCGCAGAGGCGCCGGGGAGGGCCGGCACGGGCGGCGTGGAGGTGGGGATAAGATGCGATAAGGTAGCGGGCGACGCAATGTGAGGCGAGGCCGGGAACTGTGGCCTGCGATGCGGGAAGGTAGGGAGAGAAAGAATAAATAAATAATAAAGAGAAACAAAAGGTAAGAAAGAGAAGAAAAAAATAAAAAAGGGTATTTTGTACTTTTCATCCTTATTCACTAGAAGAAGAAGTTGTTTTGTCAAACGGTCCAGAAAACATATTCAGCTCCCTAAATAAATCTGCTCCGCAGGTGAATCCGTAACCGTAGCTGTTTTGATTGGAGCCATAACTCTACCAAATGGGCCCGAAATACTAGCATTTTGCATCTTTGGATCCCATCCTCAGTGAACCCCACAATAAAAGTTGACCTAGCATTTTTAGCTGCAGAAGTATCCATGAGCGCACGGCTACTACAGCAAATCATAAGCAAGAAACAACGACGCTCCAACACCTATTCACTTAGATTTATTTGGTTTTATAAGTCATATTTTTTCAGCCAACAAATAATATTTTTTTCTCATACCAAATCAGTCAACGATATTTTCAACCGCCAACACGGCGGGCGTCACAGTCAAACGATCCGATACAAACAAATGCTGCACAGCGGCAGCCGCCGCAGCAGCACTCGTCGCACGAAACGCTGTGATCACCTCCCGATTTATTCACCAACGCCAAGCTCTTCACTGCTCCAGCATGTCCTTCCAGCACGGCGAGACAGGTGTAGCTCGCCGCCTGCGCCGCCGCTGTCGCCCCTCTCCTCCACACCCTCACCGTCCTGTCCGCCGAGCCACTTCACACCACTTTCCCGGCGGCGGCCAGGCAGTGTACGGCACCCGTGTGGCCCCTGAGCGTCGGCGGCGGCCACGCTCTCTCCCGCACGCTCCCACACGATGACCGTCTTGTCGCACGTGCCGGAGTAGAGCACCTGTCCGTCGGCGCCCAGCGCCAGCGCGTTCACCGCCGCCTTGTGGCGCTCCATGGTGGCGACCAGCGCGAGCTTCCCCCCGCGCCCCGGCTGGCGGCGCCTCCACGCCCTGATCGTCCTGTCGGCCGAGCCGGTGTACACGTGCCCGTCACCCGACACGGCCACGGCGTTGATGGCGTCATCGTGTGCGGACGCGACGGACTCGACGCAGCGGAGGCTCCGCATCAGCCGCCACGCCTTGAGGCTCTGGTCCCACGACACGGAGTACATCTCCGCGCCGTCCGGGGACAGCACGAGCGCGTTGACCGCGTCGATGTGGTGCACCCAGGTGCGCCGCCTCCGGTGCCGCCGCCGGACCTCCACGTAGTTGCTCGGGAACAGGAACGTGCGCAGGCAGTCCGCGGCGGTCGGCAGGACGGCGCGCAGGCGCAGGGCGAGGTGGTCGCTGCGGCTGCTCCCGTCCCTCCGGCCGCAATGCCACACTCTGATCTTGCCGTCCTGGTGCGAGCTGACGAGGCCGCCGTTGCTGGTGGCGATGATGCTCTTTATGGGACTGCTGGTGGCTGCAACCGTGGATGTGGACTGCTCGGCTCGTTGCACGTCTATGGCCATGGCCATGTCCAACGCCCAAAGCCTGATGTGCCCATCTGACGAGGCGACGTAGAGCGAATCGCTGTCGAAAACGAGCCCGGAGACGTAGGATGAGTTGCCTTTGAGTGTGGCTAGGCACGGGCTCAAGTATGGATTTTGGGAATACTGAAACGAAGGGTGACTCGGTTGAGATGGGAATAATATGGTTTGTTCCTCGAACACATCCTGATCATCTTGGGTTTCCCCTTGTCTAATGGTAGAACTACTCATGGAAATCCAGCCAGTTATCAGAGACAAGAGCTCACTGCAGTACTGCAACCTGCATGGAAGCAAAGAAGGTTCTGATAAGCATCAGTAACACAGTGGGTTATCTTTATAGTAAGTGACCTCAGAGATGAGAACGCAGTGCAAAAAGATCCAGCTGACAGGTACTTGAGTGGGGGAAAACACAGTCTAGTATGCTTTAGATTATGGGGACAAGATTTCTTGGTAAAACGTCTGTGTCGAGATGGCTGCATGCATTCATTCAAAGGTAAAATCATGCGCTGTATCGATTAGCTTTCATCGGATAATTCACGGAACAGGTAAAGGTAGCAAGATCTGTCCAGGCTTGCCGTGTTGGGAGTCCAAGCAATGCAACTTCCTTTTCTTTCTCCCCACTTTCCAACGTGCACATTTTTCCACCAAAGGTTAGATAGCTTGCAATTCTCACTCGAAAGTAATCTGATCCGATCTCCATATGCAGCTCATTTCAGACTTCACAGTGATTCATCGTTACAGGTTTTGTAAACTTTGTTGCAGTAATATATCCTTGCAAAAATACTAAAGGATATATTGATGAATTGCTATCTCAACTTGACATACATCAATTCCTCGAATTACAGAGATGCCCGAAATTAGACAGGTAATGCACCCGATGACAACTGCTCCCTCCATTCCCAAGTTATAAGTCGGTTTGGTTTTATCCTAAGTCAAACTTTTCGAGCTTGACCAATATATTTCTATGAACCTGGTCAAACTTAGATAATTTTAACTTAAGACAAAGACAAAATGACTTATAATTTAGAATGGAGAGAGAGTACTACTGAATGAGGAGTATCAATTTGGCAATTATCTCACACTCAAACAAATTCCAGTGAGTCAGTGACAAGGGGTGTGATGAAAAGTACGGGGATCATGTATCAATGAATGATTCAATGCCTACTCACAGTCCATGTACAATTCGAAAATAATATTTGATTGTAAACTTACTTCGAACAACATAGTATTGGTGTTTTTTCTTGAAAACCATTGATGGAAATGTATGCCACATTTCCTATATATTCAGTCTCACTCAGAACCAGCTGCCTAAAGCATTAAGCCACCCCCTCCAAAAGAGAGAAAAAAAAAGCACTCAAATGCAAAGACATATCCCAAAGATTAGGAATAAGGATAGCTACATCAAATCCCTAAAAAAAATCTTGGCTACTTAAAGGTCTTGTGTCTGACAAAAGAAACGAGTTACCAAGGAGCAAAGTTCAAAAGAAATAGCTTGATTGTGAGAAGAGTAAAAGTCCTCTAGCTTCGGGGAAACCGACTTGAGAAGCCCAATCAATATCTAAAGCGCAAGAGGCAGATAGGCACTATACATGTTGCTTATCAAGGACCGAAAGACATGATGTAACAGCAACATCGATAAGATAGGCACTGTTAAAGCTACATGAAAGCCCAGTGCAGCAAAGAAGCTGTCAGCCTGTTCGGTTGGCTTGTTCGTTTCGTTGCTGGTTTGTGAAGAAGTACTGCTGGCTGATTTGTGTGAGAGAAAAATACTGTTCTGGCTGAAAATTTACGATCGTTTATGACAAGCCATGGCCAAACGAACAGACTGTGTGTGTTCTAACTCTCACATTTAGTGAATTCTTACTCGACAAAAATAAAGTTCATAGTAGAGGAGAGTATGAAGTTAATCAGAAGGAGCTGAATGGCCAGGTTTACCAACTACTGTTCTACTAAAACTTTAGATCTACTGACAATTCCAAACTGATACTCTTTTCAAGACAAGTAATTAAGCACATATTTTTCTCAAACATGTAAGAGAGCCGAGCATTATTTCATTAAAGAAAAGAGAGAAACTGGGATATAGGGGTGGGTTCAACCCCAGCCCTACAAAGACCCAACGCACACCCGACTCCACACCAAAACTCACCTAAACGACAGAAACAAAGAAAGTGACCAAAAGAAAACCCAGGGACAAGATTAGCTGCCCCCTGCGATGGACCTGGAAGCCCCTTAGCACCACAGGACAAATTCATTTGCAACAGCTTGTAGCACCGCCGTGACCCTCAGTTCTAGCGCCATATGAGTTATGAGCTTAAATGATTCAGTATTATTTCGAGGTCTTGACAGTGAATAAAAATGTTGACTTGTGTGTGCATGCAGATCACAATGTATATGATGGTAAACCAATCTACTCAATTTAATCAAAATACAATCAACGACGACGTATAGAAAGTGCACATATGGGAGCATTCTAGAAGAATTTATGCAAGTTTAATGCAAGAAACAACAAAACCACGATGCTTGTTGATCCAGTTTAGTGTTGGGACTAACAGTAACTTCTAGTGCATGAAATAGAACAGAAGATACATCCTTAAGAGACACCAAGCCTAAAAAACTATGAACCTTATTATATATGTTCAGAAAAGCAGAAATGCATATATGACATCACAGTAAGCAGCAACTGAAACCAAATACCAACGGTTGAACACTTGAACCCAACAATAGGTCATGTGAGAACAACATGCCATGCTACTTAAGAGTAGTGTTAAGACTGATCTTTCAGCAGAACTGCCTTCCAAATCTGAGACACTCCTTTTGTAGCCATCTGAATTTTCATAGATGCCACTGTTGATCAAGCTTGGCTCTTAACATGTAAATTCTCTCCACGAAAGCAACACGTATGAAGCAGACAACACAGCTAGATATAGGGAGCAATGTTATTAAATTGGCTAATCGTCGCTAATCGCCCTGGTACCGATAAGGACGATCAGGACGATTAATCACCGATAAGGACGATTAATCGTCGATAAGGACGATTAGTAGACCTCTTATCGGTCTAGTCGTCCATATAATCTCCTGTATATAGCAGGACTATATATCATATATGTATGGTATATATAGTAGACATCAAGCATCAAGACTATATTTCTGGTTAGTAGACATCGAGCATCAATACTACATCATAACTCATCTTTGTGCTCCCTTGGACCTGCAGCAGGTGGGGAAGAGAATCGATGACCCTGCAGCAGGAAGGAGGAGGAAGCAGCACGCAGCAGGGAAGATGCACGGACGGGCAGCTTGGATTGGATCCGGAAGGAAGAGAGGAGTGAGTGAGGATGGAGGGGAAGAGATGCAGCTCAGCAGCTGCACACACAACAAGTGCAGCCGACGACTGGATAGTGAGGGTGAGGACTGAGGAGGTGAGAGAAAGAGTGGGGAAGAGGTATAAAAGAGAAACTCTAATGGGCCTGGCCCAAACAAATATAGCCCAGTAAGATCAAGCAGTTCATCTGCCTATTTGGTGCTGATCGGTCAAGACACCTAATCAGATGATTTATCGCGATTAATCGACGATAAATCAGATGATTAGGTTTCTAATCGCTCTGATCGAATTGGAGGGTCTAATCGAGTGCTAGGTACCGATAAGAATGATTAATCGATCGGTTAAAATTGATAGGGAGGCCTCTTTCTGCCTACTTCTAGCCTCCTTTTCTTCTAACTACGAGTGATTAAATAGCAGTAGGACAAAATGCTACTTTCTCCGTTTCAAATTATAAGTTGCTTTGACTTTTTTGATACATCCATTTTGCTACGTATCTAGACATATATTATATCTATATACATATCAAAATAGATGTACCAAAAAAATCAAAACGACTTGTAATTTGGAACGGAGAGAGTAGATAACATGGAAAAGATTGGCAGATAAGCCACACGACTGGTGGTACAACTTGCCCAAGGCCTAGCTGGTTTGAAACTTGTGGATTGCTTGTGATAGATCAGAGGAAGCAATGGCGATATGGATGAGTCCAATGTTTTCATCTATTGTGATGCTTCAAATCATTCACACTGAGGTTTATGCATTAATCTAATCTAATCGTTATCTGTAACTGTAAGCCACGATCTCCAGAGCGCTTGGTAGGATTGAAATAACACTTTGTTTCACTGTAGTTTGTGCTGACTGAGTTTGTCAATTGTCATATTGATGTGGCCAATGAGAAATGATTCTATTTTCCTGGCGCATGATACAGTTGTCTAGTATTATGAAGGGCAGTAACTGCTTCGCCTCAAACCAAAAAGACAGTAATAATGGTCCCGTGCTGTCGCTAAAAATGTGCAGGAGAGGGGATATCAATGCAAGTTTTGTTCTCTCAGTAGGTCACGACCCAAAACTCAATATTTTTTTTCTCGAACACGGCAAGCTACATATCATTATATTAAGTGTTTGTTTGGATCCTCTTGGCTAAAGTTTAGACCAGGGCTAAAGATTAGCCCTAAAATGAAAGGGCTAAAGTTTAGCCCCTTGGGCTGTTTAGATACATGACTAAAAGATGACTAAAAGTATAAGAGAGAGGAGAGAGAGAGAGTAAAGTCAACTTTTAGCACTTTTAGCCTAACTTGCAAGGGCTAATAGGCTAATGGAGGGCTAAAGATTAGTCCCTCCTTTTAGCCCTCCTGCTTGAATCCCCAAGGGCTAAAAGGTGGCTAAAAGGGAAGGGCTAATCTTTAGCCTCTTAATCCAAACAGACCCTAAGAAGATAGGAGTCTAACAAGACTCAGAAATCATAATCCCATTAGGGCATAATTTACTACTAACCGAGAAACAAGGAACTTCAACTAGTGACGTAAACACCACACTATGGCCAAATACGTCAAGACCTTTAGCCCCAGCCATGCACCAGAATAAAATGAACTAATCCTGGATTCAAAGCAAGAAAAGTATAGAAGAAAATGAATTAAGGGGGTGACCAAGAACTACCCAGGGGGTTCCTATTTACATCCCTTGTGTGACCTTGTTACTCCTATGATTAGTGGGCCTGCAACAGGAGAACAGATCAGTAGATCACAGCCAGGGTGATATTGCACGTTCACCAATGTGCTGCAAAAGTGGGGAAATGGATTAAGAAGAAAAGGAAAAGGCATGTACTCCCAAAATGACAAGAAAATTCATATTAGGTATAATGTATACATCTGCATATGTGTATAGATACGTCTACATAAGAGATAACTTCCTGTTAGAATGTTTCCATGAATGAGATCCGCATTGAAAACTAGTGGATTCAGAACTCGATTGTATTTTGACTGCTATGGTGCTACCATCTAGACAAACACTTTTCCAAGAAATTGCCATCATGGTCTAAATCATTCTGTTCACAGAATTAAAGTAACTCAGCTGGAGATTATTTTCCGCAAATCACTCATGAAACTTTTTGAAACAAATCATTTACAAGAAGGCAGAAAGTCACTTACTAAACACAGATGTCAGCCTAGTTCTTGTGGCTGACTGGCTGCCTATTATAATCGACTTGCATATGGATCCATTGTCTGTTAGTGGATCTAGATCTGAAATTTTAGTGTGCCCTGAGATTGTTTGCTTGGTTACTTTCTGGCATGGTTTAGCAACAACAGGCAAAAGCACACATTGGTATATTTTGTACCTCAAACACGGTGGAAATACTCTAATCCTGTCGACCTTTAAGCAAAACAACAAAACATTACTAGAGCAGTAGAAAGACAGATAGAAGACTAACCTTAAGCATAAGGCTCATATGCTGATGTAGTTTGTTTACCAAGAAAAATGAAAAACAAGCATATAATGCATTGCTGAAAGCCTGAAACTAGAGGTGCATTGAACCAGTTGTGGATTAAATCAATGGCGTACCCAGTGCAGAGAGCTCCCGCTCTGTGCGGGGTCTGGGGAAGGGTGTCAGTGGCAAGCCTTACCCTCGCCTGTGCAATGCGAGGAGACCACGACTCGAAAACGGGACCTTCCGGTCACAGGCGGTAAGACTCTACCGCTTGCACCAGGCCCGCCCTTCGTGGATTAAATCAATGATAGAGAGAATAACTTCTGTTCGACAAGCATGGCCTCATTTAGTAGCCACTAGTAAACAGAGTTATAAATAGAATCATATTTGCTACCAGCATCATGAACAGTTCTGCAGGCAATTCTCAGCATGCATTTATAGCTGAAATAAGAAGCCTTAATCTTGCATCGAAAAAAATTGAAGTCACCAACGAGAAAGAACAACCTTTCCCCAAGAAAAATGGAAGTAAATAAAACTGCAAAGAGCAAACACCTTTGCAATCTGTCATCCAGCCTTGGAAGCCAAATAGCTGAAACAATGTACCCCTCTGAATCTTAGTACCAATGGATCTTGATTTTAAGGCACAACTCACAAACCCAGCATCCACACAAGAATGTACAATGCATGTCACATCACCCTAAATGCTTCAGAAACCAAATACCTAGGCACAAACTACCGCCAGATCACTAGAAAGAAGTTGCAACATCATGTACTGTTTAGCTGCCCTATATCCCATCCACCACAGGGATACGTTTCAACTCATTTGATGATCTAAAGTCAGCAATGTCACCATGCTACACTGTGTATTGGATAGGGTCAACTGATGCCACCATGGTCATGGCTAATGAATGTATCAACCATACCAGACCACCAGTATTCACAGGCAGCTGATACCTAGTAGATTGGTTCTCATCAATCCCAGCAAATGCTCCTCCCAAGTGTGACCAGTGACAGTTGCCTCTATGATGGATTGCAGCACTTTGCAATATTGGATTGCAAATGTGCTTAACAAATTCCACACCTATTATTCTAAGGGCTAAGGGTATCCATTTCTTGTGAAGAAAAGATAACAATTAATCGACAGATTCACAGAGTGGATGATGATCCCATAACGGGGAAAGGGACTGAAGTAGGAGAGGAGGATTTGGGGCAATGCCATGTTAATTATAGCAGCTAATTTTCATCCAAATTCACAGAGTAGCACATTGTCGACTAATCTAAATTCTAAAAAGAATAATTTGATCATTTCATTAGCAGCAATTGTCGACTAATCTAAATTCACAGATGTAACTCTGAACAGATACATCTATGCCACAGGACTTTAAAAATATCATTAAAAAGAAACTGAAGCAGTTGTCAATTAGTTAGACAATAAAGTAAGTGGAGAACACAAATTGATCTCAGAGTTGAACATGTGTTAACTTTATTTCTGAAAGATCTATCTGAACCCAGCAAATTACAATATTTTACAGATATTAACTCTAATCTATGCAGATCAAACTAAGCAAGATTTCTTTCCACATATTAACCAAATATCAGAAAGTGAAAACCATATATTAAAATGATGTACCAAAACACACAAGGATGAGCCCCAGTGTGCTGCAGCTCTGTCGACATCCTCCTCCACTTGGCTAATCGACAGAAGAACAGCCCAAATTTCATCTCCGTCACTTGGAACCGGGTTCGTGCAGTGGGATCTCGTCATGGGACTCCGCGCCATTTGCCACTGGAGCTGCTGTAGAGGTGATTGCTTCGTCTTCCTTCTCCTCATCCGAATCCAGTGTGAACTGTGACATGATCGGCATCCCCTCCATCTGCACCTCCTTACCCAGAACACTGTACCCGCTCGGGGGTCGGTTTGCCCTGGATAGGACTGCCGCGTAAGCGGCCGCGCCGGCAATCACAAGCAGCGCCAGGTGGCCGTTGAACTGTAGCGTGGCCACAGACCGCGCGCGGTGGTAATCCTCATGGGTGCGGCACTTAATGGTGTAGTCGGCGCGGCTGGCGGCGTGGAGCGCACATCCCTGCGCGATGGCGCTGGTGAAGAAGGAGAAGCCCATCTGCAGCATCCACGTGCCCTGCAGCGCCAGGCCCGCCGCACGGGCGAGCCGCGGCGTGGCCTCCCCTGGCCGGTGCGCGGCGAGCAGCGTGGCGCCAAGGCAGAGCGCAATGGGGACGAGGAGCAGGTCGAAGTAGCGGTTCTCGATCCCGGCGGCGGTGGAGGGGCGGCGGTGCGCGAAGAGGAGCAGCTCCTGCGCGAAGGCCGCGGCGAGGAGGAGGTCGAGGAGGGGGAAAGGCAGCGGCGCCGCGAGCGGCACGAAGGGCGCGAGGGAGTAGAGGAGGAAGAGCGCCGAGGCGGCGAGCGTGGGGAGCGAGAGGTGGTGCGCGGAGACGAGAGCGGAGATGAGGCAGAGAGCGGAGAGGGCCGCGGCGAGGAGGTGGCGGAGGTGCAGCGGCGTGGAGAGGCGGCGCGGGAGGAACCGGAGCGGCGGGACGCGGAGGGGCAGGGACTCGAGCGCGGCGAGGGCCAGGAGGCCCAGCCCGGCGCCCGAGTATGCGACCAGACCCGGCATGGTGGGAAGGGTGGGAGCTTGCCGCGCGCCGGGCCGCTTGTCGTGGTTGCTGCCGGCGCGGGCGGGTGTGCTGCGGCGGGGCGGCGGATCTGAGCGCCGGCAGGGGAGGGTAGGCGAAGGGGGTGGTCCGGTTGGCAGCGAGTACTTGTCTTTGGCTATCGGGGGAGCTGCGGCTGCGACCGACCTGCCGTCTCATTTGACGACTTGTGCGAGTCGCTGCCGAGTGGACCCACCCGTCAGCTGCTCGTGCTCGTCCAAGTGTCCACCTGTGGTCCCGCCGTGAGGAAAGACGAGACACGAGAGTCGAGTCGAGTCGAGTCGAGTCGAGCAGAAAGCGTCTCTGGACAAAATGCGTTTTCTCTGCTAGAGCACATAACCGTTTGACAAACCCCATCCAAAGCCCCGCCGCGCTGGAGGCCGCCGCCGCGAGAGATGTCGCTCTGCTGCTGCAGCACCGCCGCCGGCCGCGGCGTTCTCCTCCCTAGCCTCCTCCTGGGCCGGCGCCACCTTCCGCGTCACCCCCTCCTCAACCTCCGGACCACCACGACCGTCGCCTCCTCCTCCTCTGCCGCCGCCACCACCTCCTCCCTCTCGCCGCCGCAGCAGCGCCAGGTCACCGTCTACATGGACACACTCCTTGAATGGAACCAGGTCCGTCCCGAACCCCTGAGCTCCGCAGCTACCACATCTGACATTCCTAGGCACGGAACGCTTCCCACGGCGAGGCGCTGCCCTGCGTGTGCGTCTCTCACTCTCTCGAATCTGTTCAGAGGATGAACCTCACCGCCGTCACAGACGAGGCAGAGGTCATGACGCGCCACGTGGCGGACTCCCTCGCCATGCTACCCCCGCTGGAGCGCGCGTACCGCGCCCGTTCCACCTCCGCTGGCGGCGCCATCGACGGGGTCAGACTTATCGACGTCGGCTCCGGCGCCGGGCTCCCAGGCCTAATCCTTGCCGTTGCGCGACCGAGTAAACACCCCTCCTTTTCAGTTAATTGGTGTTCTGATGTGGCTGGGAAAACGAGTTGTGGCTGATTTGGTTGTTGCAACCTCGATTTGTCTCCTCGGTTTCAGGTTGGAAAGTTACACTGTTAGAGTCGATGCGGAAGCGGTGCACATTCTTGGAGCATGCAGTTGAAGCCATGGAGTTGTCAAATGTGGACGTGGTGTGTGACCGAGCTGAGGTAAGATGGTTTTAAGCTTAGCATATGCTATTATGCTGTGAAATATTTATGGCCTACATACTGGCAGTTCATATAAACAAAAAATAAAATGCATAATTTAGAAGATATCTCAATTCCATGTTTGATTGTAACATGGTGCAGTACAAAATAAATTCATCGACATCACCCCAGTGTAGCAGTGCTCGTTTCACAAATAGATCATTTCGTGCAATAAATATTGCACTAAAGTTTTTAAATACATGTGTGAATTAGACTGCGCAAAGAAAACATTCAATGTTGCACATAACACAAAATCTAGCTAACCTCAAATTCTAATCAAGGAACTAAGTACTGTAGCTACCACACAAATCTACAGTAAGAATACCTAAAACTTCAGTACATAAAGTAAGGTATCACTCAGATTTCTTGTAGTATGAACGGGTATATTTATTCAAAATCAAAATCATGGCATCACCAAATTCATCTAGTCTGCTTTGACTTAATCAAGCAATGCTTCTCTCTTACTTTTGGTTATATATATGAATTTGGAGCTACTAAAGTATTGTGAAAACACAGCGGTAATTGCTTTCATGTTCCTTCTGAGCCTTTTTCAACTGAAAACAAGGGCATGTTGTGAAAACAAGTATTGTGAAAACACAGTATAAACACATGTTGGTTATTGAGCAAGGAACATTGCCATACAGTTGAAAGATGGCAAACCATGGTCTTGAGGCTGAAGGCCAAGTTCAGTGTTAGAAGGCTAAGAAATTTAACTGGTTCCCTACAATAGTGTGGTAGCGTTCAACTCCTATGAGTGGCGTCAGCCATCAGCCACACAAACAAGCTTTTGATAGATAACATAGATTGTTCTGCAGCTCAAACAGAGTCCCTTCTCTGCTCCTAGGATTGGGGAGTTCAGGATCGAAATAGAGCAAGGGCAGACTGGGAAACGCCGCAAGCCACCTGCAAGGCTGCTGCCTGCAGCTAGGCTTGTGTCCTACTGTGCTCTCTTCCGGCCATGGGCCATGGCCAGCCTCCAACGTCTGGCGGTCTAGCCTTCCATACCCCATTGCTCGATTTGGCCATGCTGGCGCACCGCTGCTTGCCGGTAGACGCTTGTCGATTTGGCTGCCACCAGCTCTCTGCTTGGGTTTCACAAGGACAAGAGCGAGAGGAGAGGACAAGAGACAAGGGGGAGGGCATCACTGTGGGCACATGCATGCGAGATGCTGAGACACGTAGATAGGCACAGCCACACAGGTCACTGAAGTTTGCTGGGCTGGGAGAACTGAGAAATGTACTTGGACCACGCCTAGGGCCAGATCGATTGGGCCAAAATTTTTAAAGGGGGTACTAGAAATTTTTGGGAAACACCTAGGACCATGGTCCTAGATTGCACGTTTGGGACCTGTTCGGCTGGTATTAAAGCCGGCTGATAAGCCGGCTGAAGCTGTTTTATTGTGAGAGAAAAATACTGTAGATTATAGCTGATAAGCCGGCTGATAAGTTCAAGCCGGCTGAAGTTGTTTTAAGAAATCTATTTTTTTTGTTGCACTACTATAGTTATTAGGTTTTCAATTCATTTGTGCTGATTCTACTATAGTTATTAGTTCTTGAGTAGACATGGCTCTATTTGTTTCTTGGTGAACAGATTGATTTTGTGGAAACATTTCTTGCCTACCATGAAACTAGCCATGGCACGCTTACATTGTTGTTATGTTAGCTGCAGAGGAATCTATCTGCATTGTTAAACATGACCGTTTTCTTTACATGGCTTTATAGGACAGAAAGTTGGCCAAAGACTTGATTTCAGAGAAAGATATGATATAGTAGCTGCAAGAGCTGTTGCTGAACTGAAAGTTCTTGGTATGCGATATTTGAATTTGTATTACAAGACTTGTTTTAGCAAATTATCTAGAGTTCTCTTTTGCAGCGGAGTACTGCATCCCATTGGTTCGCATTGGTGGTTTGTTTATAGCTGCAAAAGGACGTGACCCCCATGTAAGTCTTGGATTTTCTTGTCTTACTAGCTGTGATACCATTGTACACTGCAAACACTTATTCAGAAAATATATATTGCTTGCTCGGAATTGGATTCAGCACTATAAGTTCACTTTTTTTTTTGGTACAGGAAGAAGTAAGAAATGCAGAAGGTGCAGTACGGAAATTGGGTGGTTCCATGCTTGAGTTATGTAATGGTATTGTCTCCAGCTTTTAAGTGTGCAGAAGTATTTTGTGTTCTTGTAATTTTATTCTCTCCCTTTCTCTTGTAAAAAAAGGACATTGGTCGTAGGACACTGATAAAATGTGACTTGGCGTGCACGACATGGTTCAGAAAAAACTCCATAGTTACAGACAAAATGAGTGTCCTGCAGACAAAAAAGTTTACACAGAAAAAAAATCATAAAAATTCAGTGTTCTGCACTCTGCAGACCAAAATAAATAAAAAAAGTAGTAGTTGAATTAATAGCTCATATTGCCTATAGTGATTTCCCCTCCTTGACTAAGTGATCGCTTTCCTTTAGTGAGGTTTTTTCTTAACTATAGCTTGCTAATGTACTTTCAACTGATGCAGTACTATTGCTGCTTTTCATTTTTTGTAAGCCTTTTATCATTTCATCAGTAAATTCTGGAATGAGATATCCTATGGTAGTTGAAGTCAAACACAAATGTTGACCTCATGGTAAACTTTTTGTTCTCAGTTGAATCAATGGGACCTCATGGTCAACGAACAGCTGTTATATACGTCAAAGAACATGCCACTCCAAAAAAATACCCGCGCCTTCCAGGTATTTCCATGTGCCACCATGAAAAGCATCACATTTTAGAAATTTCTGTAATCTGAAACATTCCATTGGTCCCATCCAGGTACTCCTTCTAAGATGCCATTATGAGAAGCGTGTTGTTGTTGTTGTTGTAGACTTTTTCCATCAATTAAAGACCATATTTGTGGCCTAGTTCATAGGTCATCTACTGGAAGATGTCTTTGTTAGAAGGATGGGTGTCTGAACCACCTTGGAATCTAGTAGCTGTTAACATTTCTTTGTTCCAATGTGTTGTTCTCCCCCCTTTTTCGCTATGTCTGCTTGGGTTGGTGTTAAGTAACCACTAAACTGTACGACGCTAAGAAGTTTACTGCTGCTCTTGTAACTGTCGGAACTGGAAAAATTCCAGTGGTGGAATATATTGGTGATGATAGGGATATATTTGTGGGATAAGAATGTAGCAAATGAGGTGTTAAGGATTTCTATCTATATCTATAACTATTATAATAATAGTTGTACCAGGACATCGAGCCGTAGCCGTAGCCGTAGTCTTCAAGTGCTACGGCTCCTTGTCCATATCTCAATTACTCTTTCTGGTTTCTTTCTAGTTGGACTAGGGCCCCTTCAACGAATCCGTCCGTATTACCTACGAAAAAAAACATTATCAGACGCTAATTGCTACAGCTCATGCACATGGGCACTATCATTGCTCTCTCCTAAACATTTTTCTTTGCCTGTAGCGCTATACCAACTTGATTATTACCTGAGTAAGAACAAGGAAGCTTCTTCACATATACTTTCCCAGGAACAAGTCCTCACATAGGCCCTGTCACCAACATAATAACCATTTTACACACACAACAAACACGAGACTCATTCCCCAGCTAGACCCAACCAAACTCCGCACCGATCATGCTACAAAGAAGGGGGTTTTTTTTTTTTGACAAAATGCTACAAAGAAGGGTTCCTGTTCTCCATCTTAGCCGGCTCTTGCCGGCTGACCAAGTAGTCGTCTTTGGACGACCCGTCACCCTTCAAAAACATCGCCCAATTGTCCCTCCTCATCCATTCTTCCTCACAGCTTCCCTTCTCCCCGAAACTCGAAAGGTTGCGATGGCCAGCACCACCTCTCCTCTCCTCCTCCTGCTCGCCGCCGTGGCAGTGGCGATGCTTGTCGTCGCACCAGTTTCGTCGGCAGACTTGCCATCCGGTTTTGCGTCCATCACGTCCAAGATCCCAAACCCTTGGTCGGCGTTCCAGAACCTCACCGGTTGCCACTTCGGCGAGCAGCAGCAGGGCCTCGCCAAGGTCAAGGACTACCTCTCCCACTTCGGCTACCTCCCCGAGTCGTCCGGGTTCAACGACATCTTCGACGCCGACCTGGAGGAAGCCATCAAGGTGTACCAGCGCAACTTCGGCCTCGACGTCACCGGCGTGATGGACGCGTCCACGGTGGCCCAGATGATGGCTCCGCGGTGCGGCGTCGCGGACATCATCAACGGCACGTCCACCATGGGCGGCGGCGCGGGCGCCTCCTCGTCGCACGTCCACGGCCGGAACCTCTTCACCTACTTCCCCGGTTCCCCGGCGTGGCCGCGCTCCAAGAAGAGCCTCACGTACGCCATCACGCAGACCTCCCTGACGTCCATCGACCGGGCGACGCTGAGCCAGGTGTTCGCGCGCGCGTTCGCGCGGTGGTCCGCGGCCACGACGCTCAACTTCACGGAGACCGCGTCGGCGAAGGATGCCGACATCACCATCGGGTTCTACGCGGGGGACCACGGCGACGGCGAGGCGTTCGACGGGCCCCTGGGCACGCTGGCGCACGCCTTCTCCCCGACGAACGGGCGGTTCCACCTGGACGCGGCCGAGGCGTGGGTCGCCACGGGCGACGTGTCGCGTGCGTCCTCGGACGTGGCCGTGGACCTCGAGTCCGTGGCGGTGCACGAGATCGGGCACCTCCTCGGCCTCGGCCACTCGGCGGAGCCCAGCGCCATCATGTACCCGACCATCACCTCGCGCACCAGGAAGGTGGACCTGGCCGAGGACGACGTCGCGGGCATCCAGAACCTGTACGGGGGCAACCCCAACTTCAAGGGCGTCGCGCCGCCGGCCACCAGCAGCCGGGACATGGACAGCGCCGCCGGCGCAAGCTCCCGACCGTGGAGCGCGTTGGTCAGCGCCGTAGCCGTGGCCGCTGGGCTCGCGGTGGTAGCGTTGTAGTGATCGGCAGTTTTTAGGCTGACCTTTTTACTCTGTTTTTTTTTTACTTTTACCTTTGCTGATTAAAATTCGTGTGTGTAGATCGATCAGTAGATACATTTGTAATTTATATACTTGTTATACATACAGACACATAGAACCTAATCCTATTGCGTAAAAAATTATGTGTGAGGTGGCACTATCGTTGATGAATGATGACTGAGTTTTGGGGGTTGGTGACATCGAGATCGGCGCAGAAGGCGTCCGCGTGAGACAACTCGTCGTCCATTTGCCGTCCGTGTTTCTTGTGCGATTCGAATTATGGGTTGGTGAGTGTCCACCGATGGCCCGTGCGGTCATGTCTCATGCCATTCAGATGCCAAGCCTCTTACCCGACGGGCACGCTGCTGTGGATATGGACCCACAGTCTTCCTCCTCCTTGATCGTCCGCAGCCCCGCCTCCGCCTGCCTCGACCACCGTCTGGCCCACCGCTGACCTTTCTGCTCGTCGTCCACCCCCGTTGAACCATCCCGTCCTTCCCTAATCCCAATTAGAGAGTTCGTCAGTTCGTCCGGTTACTCCTCGCCCTCGCCGCGGGCACCACCCATCCGGTTGTCTACCACCACCCGCTCGGCGGCGCCACCGCCGCCTCACTTCCGCCCCTCAACCTGCCACCACCGCCAGACCCTTCTCTTTCTAAGCCCGCTGACCATGGAGAGCTTCCCTGAAAACCCTAACCGCCACCGCCTCGGCCTCCGGCGACCTAGCCGCCGGCCGTCCCACTCACCACCCGCCCCTTTTCCATTCGGATTCACTGCCGTCCTCACGCGTGCGGCATTTGAGTATTGACGCACGCACGCTGCTGCACACTACGCTTAGAGGCACCACATCATTCACAATCAGCAACGGCCGATGCACTACTCTTTTTTCTCCCCCTAGAGCCAGGATTGGAAGACATCTGATTTTATTTTTTTGAGAAGGATGGGAAGATATATGATGACGGGCAGGATTACTCTTATCTAAAATTATTTAAATAGGCAGCTCAGAGCTGGGCCGACCCTGGAGGCGGCCCGCCCTGGGCCCCCAATTTGATGGGCGCCACCCCAGATATACAAACACTAGGGTTTTTTTTTTTTTTGAGTAGATACAAACACTAGGTATAGTAAGTAGTATTAGGCCTCTTCAAAGCCCAGTACAGAAACGTTGCGGGCCTTGAAGTCCTGGCGTCCGCGAGAAGGCAGGAGTCTGGATTCCGATTCCGACCCTATTTGACACGGGAATTGAACAGCGAAAGACCGGAAACTCCGATCTACGCCGGAGCCCAGTCCGACTAGAACTTGCACTCATCTGCCGGTGTATAGATATTGCCGGCGCGCCGCTCTCCTCTGCCTCCTCAAGTTGCCGTGAGTCCTCCACCGGCGAACGACTAGCAAGTTCTCCTCGATCTGCCGGCCGGTGTATATATATTCCCGGTTCTGGATCATCACGCCTCGCCTGCACCCAACAAATTCCCGTCCAAAGTCATCAGCAAAGATGCTAGACATCAATCTATTGCGCACGGGAGAGAACAAACACGACGGCAAGGCGGATCTTGTCCGCCTGTCACAGCTGAATCGTTTTGCCTCCGTTGAGCTAGTTGATGAGGTCATTGCCCTCGATGAAGCATGGCGCCAATTGCGGTTCGACTTGGACAAGGACCGGCAGGAGCTCAACGTCGCTAGCAAGAAGATCGGAAAGCTCAAGACAGGCAAGCAAGATGAGGAGGCGCAGAAGCTCATGGATGGCACGAACGAGATCAAGAAGCGGCAGGCTGCCATGTGTAGGAAGGAATGATCAACTGGACAACGTTCATTGATCGTATGCAGTGTACATTTATAGAGTACAGTGGCCTTTGGCCATGAACACACACACGCACTACACACGGAAACAGTCGTGGACGAGTGGGCGCCGGGATGACCGGGCGTGCGTGTGCGCGTGGCTGGGCGCGCTCTCCGGAGGCCGTTGGCGAGAGGAGTGCGCGGACTGAGCGCTGGAGCGCTGGACGTGGGCACGGCGAGAGACTCGGGCAAGCTCTAGCCGTTGGAGAGGTTGATCCGCTGACACCCCCTGCAGTCTTGACGTCGCCGTTCGTCACAGAGAGACTGTCTCGGAAGTCGAAGAAGAGCGCTGAAGGGAGTCCTTTTGTGAACACATCCGCTAGCTGCCGTGCGCCGGGAACATGTGTGACGCGGAGTTCGCCGTCTGATACTTTCTCCCGGACGAAGTGAATATCGAGCTCGATATGTTTTGTTCGCCGGTGTTGGACTGGATTCCGGGACATGTACACCGAAGATATGTTGTCGCAGAGCGCGACTGTCGCTGATGGCACCGTGTAGAGCAGCTCACCGAGAAGTTGGCGAAGCCACGAGCACTCGGAGACGGCGTTGGCGATGGCGCGGTATTCCGCCTCGGCACTCGACCTAGATACCGTAGTTTGTCGCTTGGACGACCACGATATAAGGGATGAGCCGAGGAATACGCAGAAGCCTGACGTCGAGCGGCGCGTATCCGGACAGCCGGCCCAGTCGGCGTCGGAGTAGGCGGAGATCGTCGGCGAAGTGACCGCTCGGAGCTGGACACCAAGGGAGATGTTGCCTTTGATGTACCGGAGTATGCGCTTGAGCATTGTCAAATGCACATCCCGCGGCTCGTGCATGTGTAGGCAGACCTGTTGCACGGCATATGCGATGTCCGGGCTCGTGATCGTCAGGTACTGGAGTGCACCAGCGATGCTCCGGTAGGTGGTGGCGTCGTCCACTGGTGTGCCAGCCGCAGTGGGCGACGTCGCGATGGCTGGACCCGACGGCGAGGTGGGCAGCGTCGGTGCACCTGCCGTGGAATTCGCTGCAGAGCTGGAGGACGTCGTGGAGGGACGGACGGGACGTGCCGTGCGCCGCCGCTGTGGGTGCGGCGTCAGGTCCGCGACCAGACGCGGAGTTGTGGCTGGGATGGGTTGTGGGCGCGGCGCGTTGTCCTCCGGGTCGCAATGCCAGGCAGTCGTGGGGCGTGGACGAGTGCTGCTGTCGATGCTGGTGGTGTCCCAGAATGGAAATACGCCCTCGTCGAAGATGACGTGCCGCGACGTGATGACGCGGCCGGTGGCAAGATTGTAGCACCGGTAGCCGCGATGATCTGACGGGTAGCCGATGAAGACGCACGCCGTCGAGCGCGCGGCGAGCTTGTGATGCGAGGTCGCGAGCATGTTGGGGAAGCAGCGGCATCCGAACACCCTGAGCTCGTCGTAAGTCGCCGATACGCCGAAGAGGAGGCCATATGGTGTCGCAGATCCGGTCGAGCGACATGGACGCCTGTTGATCAAGTAAACTGCCGTGGCAAGGGCCTCCGCCCAGAATGGCAGTGGAGCTGCACTGTGAAGCAACAAGGTGCGCAAACAGTCGTTAATGGTTCAAAGAAAACGCTCGGCTTTCCCATTCTGTTGCGACGTGTAGGGGCATGAGAGTCGCAGGTGTATGCCGTGAGAGGAGAGAAGAAGGCGCATGGCGGTGGAGTCGTACTCCCGTCCATTGTCTGTTTGGAAGGCAAGAATAGGCAAGCGGAATTGGGTATGGACATAGGAGATGAAAGTCTTAATTGTCTGAAAAACGTCAGATTTGTTGCGAATGGGAACTGTCCACAAATAGTGAGTATAGTCATCTAGAAAAACAACATAGTATTTAAAACCAGAGTGACTAAATATGGGTGAAGTCCAAACATCTGAGTGAACAAGCTGAAAGGGAAAGAAAGACTTTGTTGCTGAATCAGAGAATGGTAAACGGTGATGTTTGCCCAACCGGCAAGATGAACATATGTGAGCATCAGCTTTATTACATTGAAAAGGAAATTTTTGTAAAATCTGAGAAGTAACTGGGTGACCAGGGTGGCCCAGTCACTGATGCCACAAGGATGTCGCCGAAGATGCAGTGAAGGCCTGATGATGCTGGTGTCGAAGAGGGTAAAGATCCCCGCTGCTTTCACATCGGAGCATCTCCACCCTGGTAGCTAGATCCTTGATTGAAAAACCAGACGGGTCAAATTCAATAGAGACATTGTTATCACGAGAAAGACGTCGAACGAAAATCAGATTTTTGATTAGAGAAGGAGAAATAAGAACATCGTTCAAGCGAACAGGTGTAGTGGCAGTAGGAATGAATGTTTGTGCTCGATGTGTGACAGGCATACCATTGCCTACTGTAATTGTAGATGAAGAAGGTTGAAGGGTTGAGCGAGGGAAGTTACCAGGCGAGGACGACATATGTGAGGTTGCGCCGGTGTCGAAGTACCAATCGGACGCGCTCTAAGGTTGGTGAGGAACGCCGGCGGAGTGGAGTGCCGCGTAGAGCGCGGCAGTGTCGAAGGAGCTGGACGGCGCGCCGGGCGTGTTCGACTGATGTTGAGCCGTCATCGCGTGGTTGGGCTAGAATGGGGGTCGAGGCCCCAAGACGCCGGCGCTGGGAGCACGGAAGGGCATGGGCCAGGGTTGCACCATGCCCTGCCATGGATTGTAGCCCACGGCCCATGGCGCGTTCTGGTTGTTGGAGTTGCCAGTGCGCGACGTCCCGCCGCCGTTGCCGCTGTTGCCGCCGCCGTTTCCGCGTCCGCGGCGTCGATCGCCTCGGTTGTTGGAGCGATTTCCGCCGCCGTTGCCGCGACGGTTGTTGTCACGCGACGCCGAGGAGCAGTCGTTGGAGCCATGAGATGCGCCGTGGTTGCTGGAGTTGGAGGAGCCGCTCGATCTGTCACCGTGGGATGCGGCGAGAGCCTGCGTCGCTTCGGCGTTGGTGTCGTGTTGAAGGCTGAGCTCCTCAAGAAGAAGAAACGAGCGAGCACTCATGAAGGTATGAGGAGGATACTTGGCGGTGATCACTGGCTTCACATAGCGGTACTTCGGATTTAGCCCGCGTAGGAGATTTAGAACTTGGCTTGGTTCGGAAACCGGATGGCCAATGTCGCAGAGTTGATCGGCGAGGCGCTTCAGCTTGGTGCAGAAATCATTGATGGACATGTCACCTTGCTGTAGAGTGCGCAGCTCTGCCTCGAGATAGACCGCGCGCTGGAGCTCGTTGTCCTGGAAGAGGCCCTCGATGGCATGCCAAAGGGTGAAGGCGTCGGCGCGGTCACGGCGTATGATGTCGAAGACACCCTTGGACACCGTGGCAAGGATCCAGTTGACACGCACGAATCAACCATGCGCCATTCGCCATCGCGATCAGCAGAAGGAGTGGTGGAGCGGACATGGCCGAGAAGGCCGAATTTGCCGAGGGCAGAGTCAAAGAAGCACTTCCACTGCCCATAGTTCGCGTCCTCCATGTCGAGAGTGACGGGAACATGGTGGCGGATCGAAATGCCCTGAATGGAAGAGGCGGATGCTGGAACGACGAACTCGTCGTCGGAATGGGAGCCATCAGAGGGAGGAGGAGAAGCCATGGTGGGCGGCGCTGGAGCGGAAGGGGAAGCAAAAGGATTTTCGAGGATCGAAGAGGAGTCTGATACCATGTAGGAAGGAATCATCAACTGGACAACGTTCATTGATCATATGCAGTGTACATTTATAGAGTACAATGGCCTTTGGCCATGAACACACACACGCACTACACACGGAAACAGTCGTGGACGAGTGGGCGCCGGGATGACCGGGCGTGCGTGTGCACGTGGCTGGGCGCGCTCTCCGGAGGCCGTTGGCGAGAGGAGTGCGCGGACTGAGCGCTGGAGCGCTGGACGTGGGCACGGCGAGAGACTCGGGCAAGCTCTAGCCGTTGGAGAGGTTGATCCGCTGACACCATGGAAGCCGAGGAGCAGGAGGCGAAGGCCAAGCTTGAAGCCAACCTCATGACGATTGGCAATATCCTGCATGAATCTGTGCCCGTTAGCGACGACGAGGCCAACAATGTTCTCGTGCGTGGGTTTGGACTTTGGAGAGAGGAGGATGGGTGAAAAACTAATGAACCACGTGGATCTTTGCATAGCAACCGACATTGTCGAGTTTAAGAAGGGTGTTGCAGCTTCAGATGGAAGGGGCTTCTATTTGATAGAGGAAGGTACCCTCCTGAATGAGGCACTGCAAGCTTTCCTGAGAAAACGAGGCTATAAGGCGATCCGTACTGCACATATCATGACGAAGGAAGCCATGGGAAAATGTGCTCAGCTATCACAATATGACGAGGAGCTTTACAAAGTGGAAGGAGAAGGGAAGTTCTTTATCGCCACGGCGGAACAACCATTGGCCGTCCTTCATCAAGGTGAGCAGTTTCATCCTGATCCGTTGCCAATTATGTACGTTGGCTTCTCAACGTGCTTTCGGAAAGAAGCTGGTTCACATGGGCGAGACACAGCTGGTATCTTCAGAACGCACGAGTTCGAAAAGGTTGAACAGTTCTGCATCACAAGCTCAGATGGCAATGATTCATAGGAAATGCACGAAGAGATGATTAGAAACGCAGAAGATTTCTACAAGGAGCTTGGCATAGCAGGCAATGTTGTCAATGTTGTATCCGGTGCTCTTAACAACTCTGCGGCGAAGAAGTATGACCTAGAAGGATGGTTTCCAGCATCCAAAACCTACAGGGAACTAGTGTCACGCTCAAATTGTACAGACTATCAAGCAAGGAGGCTCGGAATGACCTATGGCCAGAGAAAGCATGGTGAACAGTCCAACAAGTATGTTCACACACTCAACTCTACACTGACCGCAACAGAGAGAACTCTCTGCTGTGTTCTGGAGACATACCAGAGAGAGGATGGTGTTCAGATTCCGAAGGTGCTGCAACCATATATGGATGGGATAGACTTCCTTCCATTCAAAAAAACTCCGGATGGCAAACAAGGTGGTCGCTTACGTTAAAAAAAAAAAAAAAACAAGGTGGTCGCCCCAATCTTTGAGCTCCAAATAAATGAAAATTGAGTTAGATGAGAGACGAGTCAAAATGCTAAGCTACTTCTACTCGATGAAGAAAAACTATGCAATCTGCTACTTCTATTTTATTTTATTTTAGATATATTTTTAAGGTCAACAACCCCAAGCGACAAATAACATATGTAGATGACTTTATGTTTAGATTAAAGATCAAAAGTACTGCACATAATAGAGATGATGTGGATATTTTTTTTGTAATTAATAAGGGATGACATTGATAGCTTACATGGAAGCATTGCAAGTTAGTGGGACACTTAGTAGGAAATGATGTTGACATCTAGTGGGAAATGATGTGGACATCTTACATGAAGAGAGAAACAATCTAGTGAGTTTAGCTTTATAAGAGTTTAAGATTGGCCTCGCCCAATCAAACACTCTTCCTCTGTTAATTAGTCATTAACACAGGCGAGGATTCTAAGATGACCACCTCTGTTAATCGACTATTAATTGAGGTGATCAATCTATGATGTCTGTCTCATTAATCCATTAACGGATGTTGACTTCTTAAGATGCATATTGCAAAAATAATTTTAAGAGACAGTCTCTCTGATTAACAGAGACGAGCACATCTAGAGACCATCTTTGTAAATGATTAGGCGGCCTCCAGGAAAAAGCCCGTCGATAAACTTTATCGACTTTTAATAGATAGAGGTGGACATCTAAGACATCCATGTTTGTTAATTAATTAACGGAAGAAGCTCATCTCTGAAAATTACTATTAATAGAGGCAATCGTTCTAAGGACCCACCTCTAAAAATCGATTAAGTGGGTATGTTAAGAGGATCGTCTTTAAAAATAGTCGACTACCTATCACCCGGATGATAGTTCATACAGTTATCATCCACTTTTTCAGCCAATCATAATTAAACACGTCATCTATGGGATGTATATGAAACGACAAAGAAAAAATGAATGGAAACAAAGAATAATAAAATAATCAACCAGATCCTGCCTCCCTGCCCAAACGCAACAACTAAAACAAGAAGTCACGTGCCCCTCTGTACATATCCAACCACTCCGATTTCTTTTGGCAAGCTAACTGAACACTATCAACTTGGAGACCAAAGAAAAAAAGGAAGGACATACTGAAACAGATCCAGAATAGAATCATCGATGAAGACAGAGAAAAGCTTGAGCCAACCCAACAAGATGCGAATGAAACACATCAAGAAAAGGTACTTAAAAATCCTTCACTGAAACATACTCGATCATCCTGTTCTTAATGGATTTGTCTACGTACTAATATGTAGTATCAGATCAGCTCTTTGCTGTTGATGCTCTGAAGAACAAGAACAGAAATAGTAATCACATATAGAGTAATAATCCCAATACGATATGACAGTTTGTCCGTGGGCTCTAGTGTGTGATCGTGCATGAGCTCTGATTAGATGATTGAAAAAAGTGCATTTCATTTATATGCAGGTACACACAACTTCGGGAATGGATACAACACAGATGATTGAAAAAAGTTCAAATGCATGCAGTTTCATTAATATGCAGGTATACCTAAAGAAAACTATATTTCGTTTCAGATAATCATAGATTTTAAAAAAGTGCATTTCGTTTAAAGAGGGGAATCTATAAAAATACTAGTAGTCATGCACGGCCGCCGCACGTGTCCATAAAAAGGATCATTCATAAAGGAGGAATTATAATAAAAATTTCGTGAAATAATAATACACGTTTGAGAGAATTCATATAATAGATAACAAGAATTCAGATAGAAATAATAATGTGTATTTGCCCCAGGAGTTGACTGCTCAATTAATATAATGGATGTGTATTTACAAACAAGAGTTGGTTGCTAACCACCAACACCATATTGACATTCATATCAAAATCCAACCTAAAACCAAAAGGATAACTTTATTTCAAAAGAACTGTCATTTACCTTATGGTATATATGCTTCAAAATTTCAAATGACGGAATTATCAATTATAATAGGCCTATGTACCAAACTGCATAACACATTGGATCATGAGTAGGCTAAGGAATCTTGTGAAATACTCAGATGTTCCACCATAATAATGGCACTGCAACATAACCTGCTCTTCCCTTGCCACATGCACCAGCTCCAAGCTCAGTAACCCTATTAATTAGAACAATCCATATGAGCTAGCACAAGTGAAATTATAAAGCTTATTTTCACTTCTTTAGTATGTTGCCATAGGACTCTGAATGATCTTGCCATTGCTTTGGCCGTCAAGGTGTGAACTCAAGAGCTTGTTGTAGAATGGTCGGCAATGGTGCTAGAGATACATGTAAGCGAGTGAACATTTAGTCATGTTGTAAAATCTTACTCGTGCATCGAATTATTTCAGGTTGCTGTCTGTTATGAAATAATTATTGGAAAAGCAAGCATTTTCCTTGTACAGTTGACGTCAATATCCACAACCACCGTGTATTTTTTTAAGACAAAAAAAATCAACACCGAAATGCATCCGAATACCTTGGCACCATTGGTGAGAGGAAGCCTACAAATGGCTACTTGGGCATAGCCTACCGTTAGAGTCATATCCGTTTTCCAGTTGCCCATAGCTCTCCAAATCTTTCATCTGCCGTTTTATCCACCTTATTGTCCTCGGAAAAAGAATTATTGAGGCAGTCTTTATATTTTCTATATAGAATTTTGCAAACCTCAAATTTTATCTAAACCTGGAAAGAGAGCATGGTATTTAGCTTAAATCTTCTGCTTCACCTTCTCTACGCTTCCTCGCCACCTTCTCTCTTATCTTCAATATGCTTGCCCATGTACCCAGTGGGGGAGCTTGCATGAATGTGTAGGGGGGCCAATTCAAAGCTACACTACTACAGTATTTGCCAATAGTACTATAGACAATTGGAATTCCGTGGAAAATCTTTGTTTTTTCAAGTTCTATCTATATAGACTGCAATGAACAATTGGGATTTTGTCAAAGAAGAATGAACAATGTGCGGATTTACATACTTGTAAGCTGTGATCCACTTATCAGCAACAGCAAGCATGGTACGAGAGAGACAGGAATTAATTACATGCATGCAGCGACATGCAAACCTCCATAGTGATACAGCCGGAGCAGGGAGGGCCAGGACCAGTTTGGCCCCCACGTAGCTCCGTCTGTGCATGTACCCATCAAGTCCAGCTCAAAAACCATAACATAAATTAACACAATAGTGTACTGTTCACAAACAGGCACTACGTAGAATATGATTTTTAGGGGCGGCTCCAGAGGCTCTGTAGGGGCGGTTTGCCCAGCCGCCCCTACGCAAGGGTCGATACAAATCTATTTGTACGGGTGGTTCGTGTTACCAGCCGCCCCTATAAATCAATTTATAGGGGCGGCTCGTATTACCAGCCGCCCCTACAAATTGATATGTAGGGGCGGCTGTAGTATCAACCGCTCCTATAAACAGGTATTCGTAGGGGCGGTTCAATCTAGAACCGTCCCTGTAGTACGTTTTCCCGCAAAAAAAAATTCAAATTTACAATTCAAAATCTCGTTGCCGAACGTCCCGCGACCAACGTTTCGAACCGCGTTCGCGTTGTTGAACGCCCCGTGACCGCGACTACAAGCACAAGAGTATTCTATAAACTACAATTACAAGTCCAATTCACAAGAATATATACAATCCATCATTAAATATACAAATTCTATACACATTGTTATCAACGTCCTAGAGCTAGCCTTTCAGTCTCACGAAGGTGTTGGTACTGAGGATTTGTACCTAACTCAGACTCTCGGTCATGGTAGGCGCCTCTGACGTGTACAATCTGGTCCAATATAAAGCTGCAAAGGTCGCCGACGAGCTCTAAGAGTTGGTCATCCTTGTATGGGTCTCTTTTCATTTCTTTCTCTTCTCTCCACTACAAGAGAACAAGTTTCGGTTTAGTATTTCATATCATGTACGAAGTTTTTATACTACGGGTGAAGAGGTTCAAACTTACCCTTAAGGGGTGTCTCCTGTAGGCACCGGTGTTACTCATCATAGAACATATATAATATCCACAATGTGCACTCCCAGGCTTCTACTTGGGGCACTGTGTGTTTTGCATATGAAAATGTTAAGTAATGCTTTTGACAGCCATGTGACGGAGTACTGAAGAAGTAAGGTATACTTACCGCACATAGTGTTTTTATAGCCAGCTTTTCCTTCCTTGCTGGATCATGCCTTCCATGATGATTAGTGACATAGAACCTAAATGTCCTGTTCGAATTATTTTAGCAAGTACAACCTGTTAGTATCCAAAAGTAAACGTTACAAGTATGTATACAAACATATAAGCTAATGAGGATTGTCGATATGTATATGTCTTGAGAATCGATATGAAGTCTTTGTATGTCACCGTGTCCCTATCTAATGAATCAAAGACCCATGCCATGCTCCTCCCGACATCGACGGCTATACAAATCCAGTGGTTGCTGCATGGATTTAATCATAGAACTAGATAAGCTCTTTTGCATCGAATAAAATATATCAAACAAAGCTTTAAGTATAGAGTTGAACTTACTCGAAGTTGTATGGTAGCCATATAGTAGAGTGTTGTTGGAGATTTTTGAAAGCTAGGGCAATGTATGCCACAACCTTAAGGGACTCTTCCCTTAGTTTCGCCGTACGGATGTGCTCTTTCTCCCGAAGAGTCTTTGCAGCAGCTAGCTCTTTGGCATCCAGTGTCCACCGTTTAGGGTAATTAAATTTTGTTTGGGCTATAGCTTGAGGGTCTACATACTCGGATTTCACACTTGGCATTTGTTTGACAATGTGCACTTGCATTCTACAAATCACGGCGTGGGTTAGTTACAACAAAATTCAAAGATTACATTCATATCATATCGGGAGGACAAGGACTTACAGGCACCACGTGCGAATTAGATTCATCTCCATTTCTCCCAGGTGAAAGCATGTTTGCATGTCATTGAAGTCAAAGACAATTTTCCCGGCTGAGCTT